GCCAGAAGTTATCGTTTGGCTCAGGGGAGGGGACGCGGATCAGTGAAACTTCCTGCAGACTCGTGGGGACTCAGAGGAGCCGACGGCTCCTAACCGTAATAGCATAGCAGATCCAGCAATCCATACTCGTCATGTGCACGAGCATAGCCCCTCCTCCAGCACCCGGCTCCCGCGCTATCAACAGCAGACTCGCAGATTCGCAAATCCTGACTCGCTGCAACACACAGCAGAGCAGACTCGTGCGGACTCGGAGTCGTAACCATATAGCAGCAGATCCAGAGATCCAGCAGACTCGTCGTCATGTACGAGTCCACAGCAGACTCAGATTCGCAAATCCTGACTCACTGTGCGCAACACACAGCAGAGCAGACTCGTGCGGACTCAGAGCCGTATATAGCAGCAGATCCAGAGATCCAGCAGACTTGTCCTCATGCACGAGTCAACAGCAGACTCAGATTTGCCAAATCGCAAAATAACCCTTTTTTTTGTGATCAACATTTTTTATTAAAGCAAAATACACTGTGTAGCGGAGGTTAATATAACGTCAGTTTAATAGATAGATAGATAGATAGTACTTTATTGATCCCAAATTGGGAAATTGTTGTTGTTACAGCAGCATAAAAGGCATTTTACAATAAAACAAAACTACAAAATATACAAGAATAGAAAGAAAAATAAAATAAAATATAAAATATACATGTCGAAATAGAAAATATACATGCAGATATTATATATATATATATATATATACAAATATATATATATATTCCAAATATATGGAATAATAATATGCTCGTGAAATGCATCAACTTTTCGGTTTCACCGATAGGATTTCTACGGTCTTGGTGATGCTGACTCATATGACTCAAATGACTCGTATGATCCGGATCTCTTCAATGACTGACTCAGAAGACCCTGAGTCCGTAAAAGGATCCGGATTTGCCATCTCGATTGTGAACTGAACCAGAGCTTCCAACAGTAAATGTTAGGCTGGCAGAGGGTGCGGCCAGCGCCGCTGGGTGTGGCCATAGCTCTTCGGGATTGGTCCATTTCGTTCCGGGTACCGCATGACATCATGCGGTACCCGGAACTAAATGGAAGACTCAAATGGGCAGTGACGTATCTCCAACGAGGCGTTTTGGGGAGGTATTTTCTGTGTTAGAGTTTTACTCGCTACAGGGTGTACTTTGAGGGTTTTGACTCTGCACACCGTTTACATGCATAAAAACCTTCATAACACACAAGGGGACGGGTAATAACCGTAAAAGCATGACATGGGAGCTTTAAATGAAATAAATAATATTTCACATCAAAAGAAACAACAATGTTTTAACAAATCATATTAAATAATCTGATGACAGAATTGTAAACAGAATAGCTGAAACTTTCACAAAATAAATAACTCAGTTACCTCTAATCATTAACCCATGTTTGTATAATTGAGTTAACTCTGTGTGTTGCTGCTAGCATCCATAATAACTGACGTGGAAACGTTACTCGTGGATGGGGCTACAGAGCTACTAGAAAGACAGTCGAACCCGGTGCATTTCTCCGTCTGAATGTGGTGCACTTCAGTGTTAATTTTGGCAGCTGTTTTTGATTTAGTCTTAGTCTTTAGACGAAAATGGTTATTAGTTTTAGTCACATTTTAGTCATTTCTATCCTTCATAGTTTTAGTCTAGATTTAGTCGACGAAAACTCCAAACGTTTTAGTCGACGAAAACTCAAAACGTTTCAGTCTACTTTTAGTCGATGAAAAAATACATTTTAGTCAACTTTTAGTCAAAATGTTTTCTCTCTTTAAACCAATTCAGTTAGGCAAATACAGGTTTCTGACATTGTAATCAAGGTGACAGCATCAAGTGTTGAAATTCGTAAAGCAACATTTCACTCTCTTAACACTTTACTTGTGTAATATCTAGGGATGGGTATCGCTAAGGTTTTCTACGGTACTACTAGTCTTATCAATACTGCTTATCGATCCGGTACTTTAACGGTATTCTTGTATTTACTTTTTGTTATTTTTTAAAGGAAAAAACTAACAAATTGTTAACCGAATTAATTGCTTTATTTAAATGTGAAATAAATGAAATATATATAATTATGTTAAAAATATTGTAGGCTACTGTACTTGAGTAAAATGTTGAGGGACTTGTACTTTACTGGAGTATTTAAATGTTGTGCTACTGTGTACTTCTACTCCACTACAGTTCATAGTTAAATAGTGTACTTTTCCTCCACTACATGTATTTAATACCTTTAGTTACTTCACAGATGTGGATGAATGATGTGAAATATAATCAAGTGTTAACTCAGACTTTAGTTCCACCTGGAGTAAATTCACAAGCTACCCTGCAGTATACAAAGTCCTTCAAACTAGCTGCACCTTTACCAGCTTTGAGAACACTTTCATGATCAATCATTATAAAACATATCATATATATTATTCTGAAATGGACCAATCTGCACAATGAATACTTTTACTGTCGCTACTTTAACTATATTTTGATGATCATACTTTGACTTGAGGAACTCTTTCTACACTATGGTATTTTTTTTACTTAGCTACAAGATCTGAGTAGGCTACTTCTCCCACCTCTGCACATCTGATGTGATAACGTTACTCGTAATTGGGGCAACAGAGCTACGAGTTAAGGAAGTCGAAAATTGTACATTTCTCCGATTGAATATGACGCCTTTTGGCCGGCTGTTTGGACAGACTACTCTACTCGTGTCAACGCGCTAACGCGAAAACATGGCAAACGAGCTTTGTCCACATCGAGCCTTGTAGAGTGTCTCTATACTCTCTGAACACTCCGTCCCCGGCAGATCTCTGTGTGCCGCTGCAGCGTGTCTGTTAGGCCCTGCCCCCCGCACACACAGAGAGAGACAGGAGGCTTGTTTGAGACGAGCTGCGGCTCGCCTCGAAAGTAGACGAGAATAGCCGATCGCAGCTGGGGGAGGTCTCAAAAAGCTTGCCTTAAGTCGGACAGCTCGGAGTCGGCTTGACTGGCTGGACTCGGTTTGCAATGGCGGAAATTGCGTTGGCGTTCTTCGTTGCAGATGAAGTGGATGCAATAGAAATCCCACATTTATTGTATGGAGAAGGGCATGATGAACACCGTCTGCGGAGGTAATTACGTATGTTTTTATTTTTTCATTTGATAGGGACAGAGCATGTTAATGAACATCAGTATAAAATACAAGAAGTATAAATGTTTTTGAGCAAACTAATTTACATCCGTAGTAGGCTTCCTAGGCAGGTAACAAAAACAGATACACAATACAATACACAAGTAAAAAGACAAAATACATTGTATGCTACTACATGTATCTAGGCCTACTGGCTGCTTCAAAAAAGTATGATCGATTATCCGGACTGATTACTTTACTCTACAGATCACAAATTGTGCAAAATTATGACACTATTAGTCTTTTTTCCTAATGGGATAAGATAAAAGCTACTTTACTAAAGATATAGAAAGCAAGCAAGATAGTAGTACAAAGATACAATAAATAAACAAGAATAAAACTGAAATCAAGTGAAGATAATATAGGCCTACAGCAGCAGCAGTTATGGCAACAACTGCAAAACACTAAAGAATATTGAATAGGTCTAATGATTTATGCTCATTTGCTCCTGTGTCTGTCTTCCTTAGATCCGTTCCAAAGGTCCAACAATTTGTGGAAGAAGTGGTCCCACAGTACAGTCCTTCAGACTTCAAAAGTCATTTCCGATTGTCCAGGGGACATGTGGAAGTGTGTGTGTGTATATATATATATATATATATATTGTAAATAACATAAAATATGTATTATCTGGACTGGTGATATTAAAAGCCATTTATTCCTTTCTACCAAACAGGATATGATGACGACTATTGGCCCGTTCTACTTGAGCAGACAGCACAGTAAAGTGGCGCTCCAAAACAGTGTCCTTGCCTGTCTGTGGACTCTATCAAACCAAGAGTCCTATAAGGGGGGTTGCTGATCGTTTCAATATGACAAAATCCACTGTCTGCCTGCATCTCCATGAATTCTGTACTCTTGTCACTACGTATTTGTCTCACCACATTTCCTGGCCCACAGGGCAAGCCCTGCATAATTCTGAGTTAGGATTTCGTGCAGCAGGATTTCCCAACACTGTCTGTGCGGTAGATGGATGCCACATTCCTATTGTGAAGCCACACTGTGAGAACCCAGTAGCATACATCAACATAAAACAGTTTTATTCTGTTGTGCTTACTGGGTTCTGTGACAGTGAGCGGCGATTCTGTCACGTTAATGTGGGCCACCCTGGTAGCTGGCATGATGCACGGGCATTCCGGTTGTCTGCTGTTGGAAGGCTGCTTGATGAAGATCCCCAGTCCCTGGTGCCTGAGGGAATGCACATCATTGGGGACTCTGCCTACCCACTATTGCCTCAGCTTATGAGGCCATACAGGGACAATGGCCATTTAACTGCTCTGCAGCGTAATTTCAACCAGAAATTAAATGTTGCACCGCGTGGTCATTGAGCATACCTTTGGCCTACTGAAAACGAAGTTCAGGAGGCTCAAATGTTTGAACATGAAAAACATCACAAACACTAGCACAGCAGTCACTGCCTGTTGCATACTTCACAACATGTGCTTGGAGGAAGGGGAACCAATTGTAGTTGATGAGCAGGTTGAAGCAGCAGATAACGGGCCACCGCATCCCCAGAACCAAGATGCAGTGTTGCACAGAAATCAGATTTGTGACCTTTTGTGAAGAGCTCACCCCCCCACACACACACAAATACACTGTCATATTCTTTGTGGAAGAAATTTGTTTTTTATTTCCTTTCCTTTTATGTCATATCAACCAAAATGATTGCGTCAAAAACGGATATAAATGAAGGAGTACAAAGAAAGAAAAAAAATGCATATATATATATATATATATATATATATATATATATGAAAACTATATATGGTCATTTTCTGCACATGTCAATAGCAGTTGACCATCTTCTTTGAAAATGAAATGATATATACATATGTACACATGTACTTGGCAAATAAATAATAATAAATGCATATAAACGTGAACACTTATTTTCAGTGTATGAAATTATGACATATTGGGCTTGTTCTGTAAAAGCTCAATGATGCGCTCTTGTTGGCTCCCAATGCACTTTAATTGGGTAACTACTTCTCCCATCGCAGTCAGCATTTTTGCTTCGAACCTCCTCCGATTTCTCTCCTTCAGCCTTCTCTGGCGCTCCTGTTCTGGCCGCACCAGTGTCTCCAGTGCACTGGTCCTCCTCTCTGAGTGGGACTCATACAGGTCGTAGAAGGATGGATGGGAGACACGAGACCGGATTGATCTCGGCTGAGTGGTTGTTGGGTCAGTGGTGGTGGGCAGGGTCATGGAGGGACCAGGCTGGCCCTCAGAGGCACAGGGCAGTGTGGTGGGCAGGGTCATGGAGGGACCAGGCTGGCCCTCAGAGGCACAGGGCAGTGTGGTGGGCAGGGTCATGGAGGGACCAGGCTGGCTCTCAGAGGCACAGGGCAGTGTGGTGGATGCTAGATATAGAGGGGTGGAAACAACAGTGCCTGGTGGTGCGCTCCCAACACTGCACCTCCCAAACAGGTTGTCCATTATCTGTAGAATTGCAGAATTGTTAAAAAGGAAATGTTGCTTTTACCAACTAGATGTGCAAGAACAAACTTCTTACCCCATAATATTCCCATGTTATTTTCCCCTCTCCTGTTGAGGCACTGCGGTCCTTGGCCCTTTTGGATGTGGTAATGAGATTGTTGAGTTTTTTCCAGATTTTGTCGGAGGAGAAACTGTATCCCTCCTTGGTGAACTGCCGTTGTATTAGTTTGTAGAATCCGGGTTTATTTCTGTAGTACACGTGTTGATGTGTCTTTGTGAGGTCCAAGAGCAGCAATATGGTGTTGTGTGTGAAATCTGTTAAGACACAAGTGTTAGTAACTCAAACAAATAGCATTTGCTGTTTAGATCCTCATTTTAGTTACTGTACCTTGTGTTGACTCAAGGTGTTCTGACCGGCTGGAGGGGGATGCCAGGTGACGAGTGCCAGCTTGGGATGTAGCAGGAGAGGTCTGCTGTTGTTGGGTTTTCTGAGGCCTTTCAACCGGAGCAGGAGCAGGCCTTGCAGGAGGAGGCCTTGCAGGAGGAGGCCTTTCAGGAGGAGGCCTTTCAGGAGGAGCAGGCTGAGCATCTGAAGACAGATCTAACGGGGCAGACGCTGCTGCACATGCTGTGATTGAGAGTCAATTAAATATTTGTTTACAATAAACATGAATGTGTCATTTGTTTGATTTGCATTAAAAGACAATACTGTTTTTGATTTAAATGATAGATTACCTTGTGTATTTGTTGCAGCCCTTGCTTGCTGCATAAGTGCAGCTGCTAAAATGTTATCTGAAAAATAATTTACATAATTTAAAGTCATATCCAGATTGTTATATAGGAATGCAATTTAGTTGTGTACTCACCATTTCGTAGTCTTTCGGAAATTGCTTGTGAGACTCTTAAAGTGATGTCTCCTTGTTCGTCTCGCAGTGTAAGGACCACAAATTCCATTTTACCCACTGTAGACAAAGGTGACCTCCATTGCTTTATATATGTTTGTTAATTGAGTCATGATGATAAACCACACCAGTGACTGGGTTCCATAATTAGAAATGCTCCTCCCTCTTAATGTTTGCAAAACTGATAGGTGGACAGGCTACAAATGGTCAGTCCCTTCAGATCCGCACACATGAAGCTTGATGAGCATGAATTGAACACTGACCTGCTGCTGTGTTGTTAGATGTAGGTGATTGTTCCTATTGGTGTGAAATATAATTATTTAGCTGCCACTTTAAGCTTTATGATGTGCACAACATGGATGTATATGTGATTTAATCTTGCCATTGTAGTGCCATTTTAAATTATGTATTCAATAAATAAGGTTAAACCGGTTAAACCAAATCATTACATAACAATACATTTTATTTTAATGATTTGGTTTAACTTTAAGAGAATTGCTAGAAATAACACTTCACTACAAATGAATGACTCAAGTGTTTGTTCATTTTAAAACAAATCAATACAATGGGGGTTGAATCCTACATGTAAAAGACAGAACCACTTATTAATTTTCAAAACTACTTCCGTCAGTGGTCTTCACCAGTTTGCATTTATAAAGAATGCACAAATGTGTTTAATCGTTATTGTCAGATATGTACTAAGTAAATACATTTGTTCCTGCTCAAGATTCAACTTTATTGTTATTGCACAGATTACAGGTACTGAGACAACGAAATGCAGTTTAGCTTCTAACCAGGAGTGCAAAAAGCAGTAAAGTGAAAAGTAATGTACACAATCTACAGAATAAAATATAGAATGAATTGAATGATGAAAAAACAGTGAGGGGTATGAATACACTAGATATACAGAGCAGCCTGTGAGCAGTATGAACAGTATGAACAGTGTGTATGAATATGCAGTGTATATATAAAGTACGACAACGGTAAGCAGTGCAAGTATAGTATACAATATATAGATATTAATTTCATGATGATAAACATTGTGGAACAATGATGAAAAATGTGAATGGAAGTGGCGACGTAAAACTGACACAAAACAACAACAAACTTTTGCCGAGCCAATGGAGAGTTTCATCCCCAGCACGGGGTAAAACCCACCAATGAGCGCTCAGCTCGAGATACCAGCAAGTCGTTTCCCATCAAGCATTTGACTTCCGCAGCCCGTGGAGAGAAACTGCGCCGCCTCGCCGCGCCTCGCTCTCAAGTCTGCGGGCGTCTTTGTCCCGCGAGATTTCAACATCTCATGTCGTCGAGCCTCCAGAGCAAGTCGGACAAAATGACTAACCATCATGCAACGCACTAGCAAGACGTTAATCGCAATTGCGCAGGTCTCGCTTGTCTCAAACAAGCCTAGGGAGATCGCTCTTCTGGATTGAAGAGAGCGGAAATAATGATATTGCAAGTTAGAAACGTAAGATGCATTTTGACAGACAAGACGGGCAATTGTGGGGAAATACCCTGCATTTGAAATGTCCGATAGTCCACCATTAACACCTTAGTCCCGTCTCGTCTCGTCAACGAAAACTAAATATACATTTCGTCAAATTTTCGTTATCAAGAATCTATTTTTAGCTCGTCATCGTCTCGTCTTAGTCGTGTAAAAAAGGTTGTTGACGAACATTTTTCGTCATAGTTTTCGTTGACGAAATTAACACTGGTGCACTTTTGCGAAATATTTAGACAAATTGCTCGTGTTACCGCCCTTACATGATAAACTCTTATTGCACTTTTGGTAACGAGCATTGTCCACATCGAGACGGGTAAAGTTTAACCACACCTCGGAGCACGTTCTCTCCACCACCTCCTCGGTGTGTCTGTGTGTTGCTGCATGTAGCAGCTGCGTGTGTAAACTGCCCCGCCCCCTCGCAAGCAGGTGGGGGAGAGAGATCTCTCGTCTGGATTGGAAAGATCGAAAATACAAAAAATAATCATAGACGCATTTTGTAGTCTTATTGAATATTACAAACGGAGTTGGCGACACTAAAACTGCATATAATGTTTGTGTAGCATAAGATATATGACATATATTTTTTACATGTCTCCAGTACCGATAAAAAGACCGATAACGTCGGAGCTTAACGGTACCACGGTCTTTAATAATTCAGCCCCGGGGCCCGGTACCCATCCCTACTTATCAGTGACACCCATAAACCATAATAGGCCTCAATCTCAATTTAACAAACCACTTGTGTTTTGTTTATACTGTAAATATAGAAAATCATAAAATATGAAGCATTTTCATTGTGGGTTATACAAGAATATATTTGATTATATTAACTTTCGTTTTAAGTATTCAACCTAATATGGAGATCTCAACACTATGATAACAGTCTGTAGCCTGACACTGTAAATCCTGTCTATACAGGTGTTGCTAGCAAATAGCTAGGAAATTGGTGTGTAAAAAAAAGGATGGCACGCAAAACAGTTTTATTTTTAACTGAAAACAGTTTCCCCACCACTGTTGAAACAAAGGTGTGCACATGAGCGCTTCTTGCGCACTCCTTCCATTTATCTAAATGGATACGGGACCAGAGAGCGCCGAGGTGAAAATAGTTCAACTTTTGGAACGCAGCAATACGCGGGTTTATCGTTACCCTGACTTTAATATCTGTGGGGTGTCTCACCCATATTCATCACACACACACACACACACACACACACACACACACACACACACACACAATATTCTAATGCAGGGGTAGCCAACACGGTGCCCGCGGTCACTTGGTCGCCCGCAGGGGCAACGTGAGTCGCCCGCGGGACATGTTCTAAAAATAGCTCGCCAAGCAAATCCAAAATGTATGAAATACACAAAACAAAAAAGGAAATGTAATTAAAAGAATCTACCCTATGCATAAACGAAACCTAAATCATAGCGAACTCTATCTACTTACTACAACTCTATATCTATCTAACACCCCTCCTCCCCCCACCCCCACAATGAATATCGACCAATCACGTTCTTGCTTGATTTGCGGGACCAGCGTTGCAGTCTGGAAGAAAAGCAATGTGGCACCTCCCCGCTGATTTTCCTTCTGGCAGAATCTACACAACACATCAGCCCCATTGAACAGCCTATCGTGCCAGCCTATACAACACATGGGGGAAGAGTTTTACTCTGCGTGTTTCAACTTGCATATATATTTATTGCACTTGACGCACACACACGCATGGCGTAATTTATGTCCCCCGCTCTTTTCGAAATCCCGTTTGTGTCCCCCCACTTTACAAATATGTTTATTTTATTTTTTTAACGCAAGCCGTCGATCGCCACGGAGGAGCACACAGCCTCTGTGAGCGAGCGAGACAGAGAGCGAGCGAGAGAGCTAGGGAGGGAGGGAGGGAGAGAGAGAGCGAGCTAGGGAGAGCATACCTTTATCTATTTAATATAGATAAAGTAAGAAATCATTCCAATGTGTACTATAGGACAGTAAAAAAAACAGTTTGAAAGGGGAGTGATTAGTAAAATAAGCATACATAAAAAGAAAGAATGCTAACTAGGTAACATAAGATAAGAATAAACCAGTTTAAATGATTTGTTATTGGTTGTGATCATATTCTAAAGATGTTTGGATTATTGAAAAGTATACATCTCTCTTTCATCTGAGTGTTGAGAGCTGTATCCATCAATTCATGTTGTGCTCATAGTGCACCAGATTGATGCATTTCACTTCAACATTTAAAAATAATCTTCACGGGGGTGCATGCCCCCCGACCCCCCTAGAGGAGGTGAGGTCCACCCTAGAGGAGGTGAGGACCCCCCTAGAGGTGAGGCCCGTCCACCCCCAAATAAAGCAGGTTAAAATAATTAAATTGCATGTATGTTCTTTTAGTAAACACTGCAAACGGGTCCCACAGACCCAAACAGCACACAAAGGTTAAAGGTCAGCATATCATAATGTTAAAATGTGCTAAATATATACACTGCAAAAAAGAAAGAAAAAGAGGAGTAAAAGTAGCCCCTGACTTGTTTTATTTTTTAAAAGTAGCCCTCACCCTAAAAAAGGTTGGTGACCCCTGTTCTAATGCATCTTTTAAAAAAACACCCTAAAAAAGTTCAGATGGTCGCTTAGCAACGTGAACGACCATCTGAGCCTCCGCGCGCTGAAAAGTCTGTGCAAGAGCAGACATCCAGAGCCAGGCAGACATGTGAAAAAAATGCTCATGTGTACTAAATATGTTATACAAACCTTCCTGTCTCTATTAAATTAAATAAACAACTCAATTGTAATTTAACTCACCCAGAGAGGATCCAAACCGCTAACACTGCACAGCTCCTCCATTCTTCTCCTTCCACAACAGTGTGTTATTTCTAGAGGATTCTGCTTGTTTTCACTCTGTCTCTCCCTCTCTCTATGTCATATACACTCATCACGTTGTTTTAACAACAGTGACTTCACTTCTCGTCTTTAAATTCAACACCTGTGTGTGAATCCTGTTTCCTGAAAGTCCTTCTAACACAAAAGCATATTTGGTTCTTTCTTTTCCACTGTTCTCCTTTACACTTGTCTGATGTAT